GAGATGAGCTCTTAGGCAGAAGTTCTTCCTTGTGAGGGTGCTGAGGCCCTGGCACAGATTGCCCAGAGAAGCTGTGGCTGCCCCATCCCTGGCAGTGTTCAAGGCCAGCTTGGACGGGGCTTGGAGCAACCTGGTCTAATGAAAGATGTCCCTGCCCATGCAGGTTTGAACTGGATGAGCTTTGAGGTCCCATCCAGCCAGGATTCTGGGATGCTCCTCCTGCTTTTTTCTCCCTCTCCCCTTCCTGTCCTAATTTTGTCTGTGCTTCCTCTGCAAATTCCTAAAGGATCCCAGCTGCTGGGCTGGGCTGGGGATGCTGCTGTTTGCAGCAGGAGGGTTTCAGGGGGCTGGGAGCAAGCATCACGGGCAAGCAGGTTGAGCTGGGGCATCTCCCAGGGATCCTGGAGAAGGGAGGAAGGGTGGTGGAAAGCCTTGGGGAGGAGAAAGGATGGGTGCGGAGGAAGAGGAGGGTGGGGAGGAAGGATGGGGAGGCTCTGCCCTCCTTTCGGCTGCAGGAGAGGTTGCAAGCCTCACAGTCAGGGTTGCAGAGCCCCTTGGAGTATTGCTGCCCCAGCCTCGGCTGGCTCCTTCCCTGGCTCTGGCTCTGTCCCAGTTGCTCGCAGTGGGATGAGACACAATCCTCTCCCTTATGGGGCCCCGTGTCTGCCCAGAGCTAATAAGGTGAATCACTGGTGCTTAACGAAGAAGCACCTGCTTAATTGAGCACAGCGGATGTTGCACAGTGTGGCTGGGTGACAGGATGGGGCCAGCAGTGCTTTCCATCCAGGGCTCCCTGCAGGTCCTAGCAGAGGGTATGGTGTCACCATCTGTAGCAGGGGTGTATTTCATCTTCATTTTTATGGAAAACAAGACCTTTTCCCTCTTTGAGCAAGCACTGGGCTGCCCTGACCCCCTGCTACCCTATTCCTGCATGGTGGCTCAGGGCAGGGGACAGAGCTGAAGCAGTTAAAGGGACGAGCAGGAGGGATGGGAGCTCTGACAGCTCCCTGAACGATGATGTTTAGATTAGTCTGGTTTCCAGGCATCGAGCTGTCAGAGCAAGAAGGCTGGAGGAATGCCGGGGCTTGCCCTTAATTGGAGATGTGGCTCTGAATCTGTCCCATTACTCTGGCATGCCCTGGGTTCCAGCAGCCCACCCCACGCCAGATCCGTGCCATGGAGCTTTCAGTTTGTCCCCAAACCCCATCCTACCCGCCCAGTCATTAGGGTGGTGGGATTTTATTGTCGCTGACGTCACTGCAATGGCTGCTGGATCACTGAGGCTCTAGTTCTGAATATGGCACAGCTCCACACAGGAAGGACCCCAGGGTGGCATGGCTTCTGGTGACCTTCATGGCTCTTCCTTCAGCCAGCATCATCTTGCTGAGTGGTCCTTTAGCCTAGGGGGAGGACAGGGTCCAGTCCCCTCATCAGGGGCTGGATGTGACCTCTGGGCCCCTTGGGAGCCCCACTGTAGCAATGGAGGGGTATGTTCCCTATCTCCTTGTTGCAGCTTCCCGTCTGCCTGCTGCTGCATTCTTTGTCTCTGTTGGAAGGACTTGAATAACCCTTTTAATTTAAGGAGTTAAATTTTAATGGCCTAAATACCACATTCCATTATCATCGCCATGTGCCTGCGCCAAGGGCTGCCTAACGTCTCAATGCTGCACTGTACTGATGCTCTGCGGCTTCTGCTTCCTCAGGGATGCTTCTTCTCTTCCTTTCCCACACTGGGAGGTCTTTGGGGATTCACTGATTCCCGTGGGCAAGGGGACGGGCAAGGGGATGCTCGTGTCACCCACGGGGATACAGGGAGAACCCTGGGGAGCAGCATCTCGCTGGGATTATGCCTCAGGGGGGATTAGCTGGCTCAATCAAGTCAAAGCACGGGCAGGTGGATGGACGGGTGGATGGATGGACGGACAGGCCACAGCCAGCCTCATTGGTAACTGGGGGACTGAGTCTTACAGCTGGGGTGTATGTAGTTGATTTATGGAGTATATATATATGTCTGGAGTGTAGATATGAGAGGTCCTGTCCCCTTCTGCAGCCCCTCCTCAAGTATCCTGGCTGCTGCCTGATTAGTTTGAAGCCACCTGTCCCTGCCTCCTCCCAGCCAGCCTCACGTTCCTCTCGTGCCTTCAAAGCCTCCCAGGCTCCGGGGGAACCCCCCTCAGTCCCACCAGCAGCTGGGCTCAGCTGCTGTCTGCTGTCACAGAGGCCAGGCAGCTGCATAGCCAACCAGTTGTCTCCTCCTTTGGGGACCACTTTGGGGTGTGCCAACCAAGGGGCTTCATTGAGGAGGGAGTTTGGGGTCTCTGCCTGCATCAGGGGAGGCTGCTGAGCACAGGAAAACTCATTCTGTTGGTGGTTTCTGCAGAGCCTGGGGGATCCGGGGGGAGACATGGTGCCCATGGGAGTCAGCATCCCTGGGGGTGACACAGCTTCGAAGCAGGGGGACAGACTCTGCACAGCTGCTCCTTTTATATCCTGACAGTTTCCAGTTTCCCAGTGCCACTGAAAGGAGGGGGAGCAATCCCAGCCCTTCCCTGCTAATCAAAACCAGGCCTGAAATTAGAAAGCAGCTCACATTCGGCCCCCTGCTCATCATTAGCCAGCCAAATGTCAGAGCTCCTATTTATGGAAAGCAAAAGCCCTCCTTTTCCATGGAGGAGTAGCAGAGGGGAAACCTGACCAGTGTCCTTGCCATGGGAGGACAAGCGTAGCTTTGGTGGTCTTTAAATTGCCCTCAACGCTCCCCAGAACCATTTTTTGCTTGTCTGAGCTTGTTTGATCTCTTTTCTTTGCCTTTCTCTCTGGAAGGTGTAAAACACCATGAGCAGAAGAGCTGTGCCGGCACATCCAGCAGTTGGGGTAAAACTATCCCAATGTTTATCCCTGGAGGACCCATCTGCTCTTCAGGCACAGTAAATCATCCCACCTCATGGTTCAATTGTCCAGCATGGTTGCTGGAGGAAACTCAGCAAGGATGAGGCATCCAGCTATCCCCTCTTACTGGAGAAGAGTGGTATGGAGCCAGCTCACTCCTAGGCTGGACTTTGACCTGCCCAGGCTGGGCCTTTTTTGCTGCAGCTGGCACTGGCTAGATCCTGCCTGCAACGCTGAGCTATTGATTTGCTTTTGGCTTCATCAGGCTGGACTAAATGCTTCTGCCTTCCCCATCCCTCCCTCAATGCTTCCCTTTCCCATCGCTGTCCCTCTTCCAGCCAGCCCTGTGTCCAAGCAGCAAGAAATTGGGGAAGTGTTTTCATCCCCATGAATGCAGACGGTTACGTAAGAATAATTGGGATAAATGAGCTTATTTATCACAGCCCCATTCCCTTTTAGCAGGGTCCAGGGTGATTGCTGGGCTCGGTTATGTAAAAGCCTTCACAGAGCATCTCATTGTCCGGTGGCAGCCACACGGGATGTAGGAGCTGCTGATGGAGAGGAGCTGGGGTTGGATGAAGAGGGGATGGGTTGCTTGGCTGGATGAGATGAGAGGAAGTCAGGAGGTGGGGGGGTTCTTCCTCCATTTGTTGAGGAAGGAAAATCTGTTTCTTCATTCCCCATCCACCTCCCGCATCCTTAAAACGCCAGGTTTTAGGGTCTTTGATGTCTTAACTATAGCCGTGTAGTCTTCCACCAGTCCTTCTCCACTGGGTCGGGGCTGGAAACTTGCCTCCTTCCTCCTCCTCACCCAAGGAGGTGCATATGTGATCTCGGGGTGGGGGGGGGGGGGGGGTAGATCAGATGTGCCCCACCTCCTGGCCTAACCAGGCAGCTATCCAACACCTCTCACCTAGCCTCCAAAACAGATACTCCTTCTTTTCTCTCCTAAACCCTTCTGAGATGCCTCCAGGGGGGATTTAGTTGCCAGCTGAGATTACCTGGTGTGTGATGGTGCTTGGGAGTGGTTGGGGGAAAGAAGAGGAGCTCTGGGGGATGCCAGCCTCTCCCCCAGTGCCAGAGTTCCCTGTCAGCCTATAAGGAAGATGTAGGGACCCAGGGAACATCCCAATTTCAGGAGAAGCTGGGAAACAGGGTGAGCTCTTACAGATCTCCCTGGTGCAGGCACTGGAGAGCTGAGCTAGCACTGGGCAGCATTTCAGATGTCTCTAGAGAAACTGCCCAAGAAGGCAGGAGCCTGGAGAAAAACAGGAAATCCCCAAACCCAAACAAACATGGAAGGAAAAAAATCTGATTTTTGGTTTCTGGTCTAAATTGTTGAAAACCTTGGAATGCCTCAGGGTTTGCTAAGCAGGACATTGCTGCTGTGACCCACTGGGCCTGCCCAGGCACATCAACATGTGCTGTGGTGCCAGCTATGCTGTATTTTGGGGAGAGCAGAGCAGGGGCTTCTTCCAGCTTCTGGCTGGAGCTGCAGAGCCCCTCAGCACTGGATCTCTGGGGAGCTGGAGCATGGAGGTGTTCAAGAAGCAACAGGGCAGGTTACTGGGAGAAAGGGGGATGTAGAGGGAAAGACAGGCTCTGGCTCCAGGACTCCTGGGTTGCATGGCACTGGGAGAGATTGCTGTGTCCTGGTGGCCTCCCTCACTTTATACCAGTTCCCTGGTGTCCTGTGGATACTGATGTGACTGGGCCAACACATGCCATCTGTAACCATGCTCCATGCAGTTGTCTGAGTAGAAAGTGGTGGTGAAAACAATTATGCAGGTCACTGAGAGGCTTGAGGTGACAAGAAGCCATGGTGGTGGGTTGGTGCCAGAAGGGTCCCCACACAGCCTGACCAGGGTTGTGTCTTAGCCCAACTATTGGTTTTTGGCCTTTTCCTGGTGTGAAGGTCTGCAACCTCCAAATGCAGAACCTGATATTGCCCCACAACATCACTCTTCTGGTGCCTCTGCATTCACCCAACCTGTATATCTCACCCCTGTTCCTTTCTGGAGGAAGGGAATGATGTGCAAGCTCAGGTCAGGGTCTCTGCTGTGCTCATTAACCATCCTTCCCCCTTGGTTTCTCTCCTCTGGGATACACAGGCAGCTCTGTCTACTTTTGAACGCAGAAAACATCTTCCATTCCATGGCAGACATACTCCTTCGGGAAGAAGACCTCAAGTTTGCCTCTACCATGGTCCACACCCTGAACACAATCCTGCTGACATCCTCTGAGCTCTTCCAGCTGAGGAACCAACTGAAGGAATTGAAGACCCCGGTATGGGCAGCAGGAGCAAGCTGAGCTGCTGGGCAGGACACAGTGGGGGTGGCAGGCACCTGGGGACGTATCTGGCAGGTCCCAGGGTAGCCCCTTAATTCTCCCACCTTTCAGGAGTTGAGTGGGGCTTGGAGGATGTGCCCAATTCTTGCTTTCTCCCCTGGGATGGGAATGTGCTCCCCAAGTCGTTGAGCAGCTGCCACCTTCCTCCCTCCATCCCTACACAGGCCCGGGGACAGGTGACAGTGGGAGCAGGGCTCTGGTCCCTCAGCTGTCCCTGATGGGACCATGCCCACAGCATTTGCCTAGCAGCTGCCACCAGCATTGGCCACATCCAAGCAAGACAGGAGATGGAGGAAGACTTCTCTTTCTCATGCTGAAGGCCAGTAATGCAGTGGTTTCCCCTTGGGTGGGACAGCCACCATCCTCCAGCCCCTCATCTTGTGGTGCCATCCCCCAAACATTTCTGGTTTCCATCTCCTGAGGCTGCTGGGCCCGTAACAGTACCAGATGGACTTGGTGAGTCCAGAAACATCCCTTCAAACGCCAGTGGCACTTGCCATGCAGCAGGCTGGTGTCAGGGTCCTGGGGCTCTCCATGCCACGTCCTTGCTGGTGACTGAACCCCAATGACTCCCTCTGTTCCTAGGAAAGCTGTAACCTCTTCTGCTGCCTGTACCGGTCCTGGTGTCACAACCCCGTGACAACCGTGTCCCTCTGCTTCCTCACCCAGAACTACAAGCATGCCTACGACCTCATCCAGAAATTGTATCCTTTGGGGGTTTTCTGTGAGGCCAGTAGCTGGGCTGGCCCTTTGGTCCCTCTGTGGCCACCAAGGTCACCCTGCAGGCCACCCCAGCCTCCTCCCACATCCCATCATTACCAGGGTGGTGTCCCCACCATGCAAGGGCAGGGCAGCCTGTGCTGGGCGCTCTCCAGCTCCCTTCCCCTTTTGTTGTTCTTCTTTCGTGTGGTGTGAAAAGAGGAAAGCGTGTTCTGGCTGAGCCTTGACCTTCCCCTGCCTGTGAGGGGAGGCTCCTCAGCATCCTCTTCCTCCCAGGAAGACAAAGGCTTTGACCTCCTGGCCTGCAGAGGAGCTGGCAGTGCCTGGCATGATGTGGTTCATGGTGACCTCACCATCTGCCTGCAGCAGAATTACTGTTTTCACATGCCAGCAATGCCAAAGCTCACTAGGTTAGCTTTCCATACCATAAAGCTTAATAACACACTCAGGTTCCCTTCCCAAAATGTTTCTCCTGCAGGTCAGGAGGTAAAAGCAGTCATCCTCACTTGCACCATCTTCTTGCCTGCTCTCTGGCTAGGCAAGCTGCCAGGATTTGGGGCAGTCTGCCATTTCCTCCATCTCTTCCTGCTCCTCCTGTTTCCTTCCACCATCGCCTGGACACCCTACAGAACTTCCAGCCCTGCCTGCATGCAAGTCCTGTCCTGCAGGAGCTGTGGATACAGGGAGCATTTGGCATCACCCGGAGCGAGCCATCTGCTGCCACTGGGCCACCTTTTCCCAAGGTAACATCCTTAACAGCCCCATCCAGTGGGGATCTGGATATCACTGTGGATTTCCTCACCGAGGTGGACAAGCTGGTGCAACTCATTGAGTGCCCCATATTCACATGTAAGGAGGAAAAGCCATGTGGGAAAGGATGGTGCTTGGTGCTCCCCCACCCAGGCACGTCCCCCCCCCTCCCTGCTCCTCCATCACAAGCGGCAGCATGAATAAATAGAGCAGAAGTTATGAGACTTCTTGCTGGGAGCTTTGTCCAGCACTGGAGCTGCCCACCATGGACAAGGGGGGGGCACCTTGCCCCCAGATATAGGCTATGGGAGCAAGTGGTGTTAGCACGAAAGGGATGAGGGAAGGATGGGGAGAGCCTGGATCAGGCTGAACATCTTGGGGGGGGGGGGGGTAGGATGTCAGGTGAGGGGAGCCATGTGTGCCAGCCACCCTTGGTGGCATTATGCATGCTGCCAGAGCCCTTAACAAGAAAAAGGTGGAGTTTTTCTGGAAATAGAGAATTAAGCCATAAAAACACAAAGCTTGCTCTCTCTTCAGCTCTGCCCCCTCAGCAATGTGGGTACTGCAGCCAGGGGCTTGAGGATGTAGCTGAGAGCCAGGATGGTGGCAGGGGCTGTGGCAGGGTGACCAGTGGCCACAGGGATTTCCTGTGATGGCATTTGGCTGCTTCTGGGCTCCTTTTCCCTGAGGGGGGAGCTGGGAACTGAATGTGCTGGGAAATGTCCTGGAAAGGGCTTTTTTTGAAGGGGGACCTGTATAGGTTTAGGGCTGGAGAATATCTAGGGTAAGAGGGTTAAGTGCAGCTAGGCAATAGAGACCTGGGCTGACCGTCAGTCAGGTTCTCTTCCATGGTACCCTGTGTTCATCCTGAAGATTAATTTCCTACCGTGTAAGGCACACACATGTCTGTGGTGGCTTTCCATTGCCCCAGGTTATTCCTTGAGGGTTCCCCATGCACCTTATCCTCCAAATCTCAGGGTAGGTGACAGACCTGAGCTGCATAGAGCAGCATCACTGGCATGGCTCCCTTTGCTGGGGAGTCACCACAGGTGCTAGTGGGAAGTCTGAGGTGAGATGCTGGGGGAGCGATCTCTCACACAGTCCCCTGGCCTGCCCCAGGTGGGACCTTGGCTGTCTGCAGGGCTCCAGAAGACCCTTCCGCCCATAAGCAGCAGGAAGGATAGAGGGGGAGGGTGGTTTCCACCCTGCTGAGCAACACCAAGGCCCAACACATGTAACCATCAGGGTTGAGTGGAGATGATCCCTTCTGCTCAAGAGCATCCCTGGGAGGGTGTCACCCAGCCCTTCTGGTGTGTAATGCTCCAGCGTGGGATTTCTGCTCATTCTGCAGAAGCTGAGGAGCAATCTCATGTTGCAGATATGTGTGCCCTCAGGCAGGCAGCATGGGCAGTGTCACGCGTGGGCAGTAGCAGGGATGGGAGACTGGGGAGCTGCTGTCCCCTTCCCCAGCTGGCAGCTGGGGGCTGTGGCAAGGGGAGGGGCTTCTGGCCTATGAAGGACACAAAGATTGTGAGTTAATGGAAGAGAAGAGGCTGCATGCAAGTGCCCCTTATGTCAGCTGGCTTGTGGCCTCCCCAGGACCATCAGGGGGGTCAGAAGGAACCTGCTATTGGGGCTGGAGATGAAAAGCATTTTACCTGCCTGCCCATCCTCTTCCTCTCCTCTTCCAGACCTCCGCCTGCAGATGCTGGACGTGAAGAAGAACCCCTACCTGATCAAGGCTCTCTATGGCTTGCTCATGCTGCTGCCCCAGAGCAGCGCCTTCCAGCTCCTCTCTCACCGCCTGCAGTGTGTGCCCAACCCCGAGCTCTTGCAGATGTAAGTGCCATGGGGATGGACCCCCAGCATCAGCACCAAGGTCAGACCAGCTCTGTGTGTCCCCCCCTCCAGCAGCTGAGCATCCCTGTGATCCTGGGCTCCAGCTTTCACCCCCCGGCTCCTTTGCATCCATGGCTGCTCTGTGGCCTGTGGCTGGGGGGGGTTGTGTCTATATTTGGTAACCTTGGGAGGGCTGTGCCTCATCCACAGGCATTTGGCATACAGGATGGAAAATTTCACTTGTGGGGTCGCTATGGAAACGAGCAGAGCCAGGAAGGAGGTTTATGGAGAGAGACTCCAGCAACGCAGAGTGCTCCCAAAGCATCCCCATCACAGCCCAGATAGCATTTGCAGCACCCAAAAGGGAGACACCTTTTCGTCTCCCTCCCCATAGCTGGCCTTTGGGAAGCCACCAGCAGCGATGTGCAAAGGCAGTATCTCCCTGGGGACCAGCCAAAATCCTCATGCTCTGTGCCCAGGGATGCTGCTACTCAGCTCTTAGGACGCCAGTGGTGGGATTTGCTCTCCATCCCTTAGATAATAAGCTAGAGGGTGTGCATATTAAAGCCGTTGCAAAGCCCTGGGAACAAAAAGATAGGTAGGTTCCTGAATTAACCCCCCACTGCCACAACTCCTTGGCTTTTAACTGCTTCCCTGTGCCGCCTTTTATCCCTCATGGCCTCAGGCGCCGAGTTTGTACTCACCACCCAGCACTGGTTTTTAACTGGAGGGGTGGGGAAGGAGCTTCATGTACTTCTTCCTCCCACTTTTCTCTGCTCCAGCTGCCATCAGTGGGGGTTTTTGAGCAACCAAAGCTGTCAGACGGCCTGAGCATCTGATTAACTCTGACCTACATTCCTTCAAACACTGAAGCCAGCTTTCATAGCAGGCCAGCTCCAGCTGCCCCCTCCCCAAAGGGGACACCAGGGCCTCAAGAGCTGCCTGTCCTCTGTCCATGGGCTCCTCTGTGACCCCTGATGGGCATCTCATGGCTGGTCACCCCCTACCCTTTGTGTTGGGGACAGCTTTTGGGGGTGACCATCCACAGATGGAGCTCCCCAGCGCTCCAGCTGTGGGTGCTCATCCCCAGAGGCTATCCCTGCTGCCACCAGCTCTTCTCTGTGCCATAACACATGGATATTTTTTGCTTGCTTACAAAACCAGGCAGGGAAACTGAGGGTCATGGCTCTGGCATCCTTTCGGACCAGCGTTGCTGTTTTCAGATGGAATGGGTTAGGACAGCATCTGTGTTGGAGTGGTTAAACATCCCCTGAGGGTCCTTTGTCTCCTCTCTCGTGTCCCAGGACCTCTTGGGCTCCATCTCATGCATTTAGGGAAGGGAAATAGGTCTTTGGGAGTGTTCCGTACAGCACCAGCATTACTGGATTGTGCTGGGCTCAGCTTTTTCAGGACAAGCCCTTGGTACTGCCTGGGTGCAGGAACCTCCTACCTCTTCTCACCCTCACACTTCTTCCTCCCCACAGGGACAGCACCAAAGCAACCACTGGCCTCAGGGGGACATCCGTGTCCAACATCAACTACACAGAGCTGCTGCAACACTTTGAGAAGGTCCAAAACAAGCACCTAGAAGCACGACACCAGCGAGCTGGGCGGGCAGAGCAGTTGGACCGGCGGATGGTCCTCTGAGCATCCCTGCCACAGCCACAGGGATGCTCAGAGGGATTGGGGCAGGGACCAGGGGATACAGATCAGGGGACAGGGATACCAGTTGCTGGGCACTGGAGGATATGGTGGGTTTAATGGCAGAGGGAGATGGGCAAGCACTCAGCATGGGGCTGGCTTTCCTACCTGCTGTGTGTGTGGATTATGGGGGACATTCAGGCTGTGCCCAGCTTCTCCCATGAGTGGCACAGGGATGTGGGGATGGGCTGCAGCAGGGGAGGGTCAGGGGAAAGCACCTCATCTCATGCAGTAGGAGGAAACTCCCCTTTGCTTTGCTAATGCCTTCCCTGTGACTGTCAGCTGAGCACCCAGCCTCCTGCCAGCAAGACCAGAGGAAAAGGAAGGGAAGACGGGAGCAAGCCCTGGCCTCTTGCCCTGGAAAGTCAGCACAAGGGGCCACCGGCCACCTCTTGCCAGCCCAACTTCCACCTTCCTGATCCGAGGCAGTGCTGGTGGCTGCTGGCGCATCCTGTGTGTGGCACTTGGTCCCTTTCGTGTATCATGCAGCCTCCCCACCTCCCCAGCTCCTGGCACAGATGACTGCACAGCCTTAACTCCCAGGGAACAGCAGTGACCCCCACTGCACCCAGCCCAAGACTTGATTCATTGTTCCTACATTAAGCTCCCCATGATCAAATAAACGAGCAATGCAGAACTGGGCTCCCCATCATGGATCTGCTCCAACTGGGAGGCATGGAGCATGTTGCTTGACCCTGTGCCCTGGGCTGGCCTAGCCCTGCCATGTTGGCTCGCAAGCAAGCTGGGCTTCTCCACCTTCTCCTCTTCCCAGCAGGAAAAAGAAACCACTGCCGAAATTCTTCCAGGCCATGGTCACGAAACCACAATGTGGTGACAGCATTTTCCTGGCTGCCTTCATGCTGTCTCACAGCACTGAGGGACAGGCACGTGCCAGGATGTTCTGTTTTGGGGGGGGGGGGGGGGGGGGTGGTGTCACCAGTGCATCCCTGGTGTATTTCAGTGTCTCACCTGGTCCCAGGGAAAGGGGGGGCATTGGTGGAATTTATGGAGTTTTTATGGCTCCTGGCCTGTTTACAGCAGAGCCGGGCTCTGGCAGCGAGTTCTTCAAACAGCCCTGCACCGGCCAGGATAAAGACATTCCTGTCATTCCCAGGAGAGGGCTTTCCAAACCCGGTCAAGGCGGGTTAATTTTAACAGCCAGGCCTTCAGGATGGGTGAGTGGTGGCTTCTGAAGCCCACCAACTGCTCAGGGTGCCGTTGGGGTGTCCCCATGGCGTGGCCCCACCCACTGCCAGCTTGCTGCTGTTGTGGGTCGGGGCTACTGCCGGCCCATTGCTGCTGCCGGGTTCATGGCTGCTGAGCAGCCTCTTTCCATGCTGAGGGATAGGGTTTATGGGGAGAAATTCCAGCCAGCTGCCAGAGTGCAGAGCCATAATCATTTCTGTATGGGTGGCTCTTGACCAGTGCTGGCCAGAGCAGTGTGAGGCTGCCAGGGCATTGCTGGCAGTGGGTTGGGCATTTTTCCAGCTGGAGGAGAAATAGGTGGCTTGGGCTGAGCCTGTAGCCACAGATGAGCATTGTTTCACTGTGAGGTGCAGTGAAGTCTTTCGGGGCTCAGCCTGACACCCCAGTCCCAGGAGGTGTGCTGGCAGGCCACATGTTTCCCACTCCTTGGTGATGGAGTACCCAAGATGTTTCAGAGGTGCCTGTAATCACCCCATTGTGTTAAACTGCAGTGTGCCCCAAGCCATTTGCCCACAGCACACCTGGGCATGTGCCTTCCCCAGGGTAGGGAAGACCGTGGGGGTCAAACGGCCCTTGGCAAGAGCTTGAACAGAGCCCCGAGCATCCCATAGCGGTACTGATGCTCACCCAGGCCCAGCATCCCCAAAGGCACGTCGGGGTTCTCAAGCTCCCCACTCGGCACCCCCGAAAACATCCCTTGGGCTTCCTCTGCTGCCCTGCGAGCAAACCTTGGTGCTGCAGCCCTGCATTGCACCCCGGGCACACCACCCGCAAACATCCCTCGGGGCTCCCCCAGGAGTCCCCCCGGAGCACCAGACTCCCGAGCATCCCTCGGACTTCCCTCGAGCATCCACCCCACCCCGTTCCCCGCAGCCTCCGCAACCCCCGGCCCCGCGTCGGGCAGCGCATGTGCCGCCCAGAGCCCGCCCCGCTCCACCCCCGCCGCCACCGCCCCGGGGGCGCCGCTTCGCCGCTCCCTGCTCCCGTTCCGCTCCTGCTCCCGCTCCGCGGCCGCCCGGGGGGTGGCCCAGGGCGGGCGGCGGCCTCGCTCAGCCCCTAGGCGGAGGGCGGCGATGCACCGCGCCGCGCCCCGCCCGGACCCCCCCCCGCAGCCGCCGTTCCGCCCCGCCGCCGCCCGGGTGCGGCCCGCCCCCCGCCGCCGCTGAGCCTGGCCCGCGGTCGCGGCCTCCCCCGGCGGCGCCGCCCGCCCCGGGCTGCCGCAGCGAGATGGAGACGGCTGAGAAGGAGTGCGGAGCCCTCGGCGGCCTCTTCCAAGCCATCATCAATGACATGAAGGTATGGAACTCCCCCCCCTCCTCCGCCGCCCCGTTCCGTGACAACGCTCCCCCCGCGCCCCCCAACGCCTTCCCCCGGGCTCTGCAGCACCGAGCTGGGGTCGCGGAGCAGGGTTGGACATCGGAGCCCCACAGCAGCCACACATCGGGTGTCGGAGCCTGGCTCTGGGTGTTCTGGAGCCCTACGTCAGCCCCACACTGGGCATCCGCGCCCCACAGTGGGCATCGGAGCCCGTGCTGAGGACCGCAGCTCCACATCAGCCCCGTGTCCATCACCGGGTATCAGAGCGCCGTGCTGGGAATGGCAGCCCCTCATCAGCCTTGTATCCATTATCGGGTGTTTGAGCCCCACATTGGGTGTCAGGCCAGAGCCCCACATCAGCCCCATACTGAGCATCGGGGCCTTGCCCTCGGCATCAGGCCCCATGCTGGGCACTGCAGCCGCGTATCCGTCCCTGCATACCAAAGCCTCATGTTGGGAATCTCGACTCTGTATCCGTCCCTGGGTATGGGGCTGCTGTGTCGGCTATCAGACCAGACGCTGCTGCCCCATGCCGGGTACTGCTGCCCTACATCAGGCATTGTGTTGTTCCTGCTCCCCAGCTTGGATTCCTGCAGGACCCACTGGGGTTTGCACCAGTGGAACAAAAAGGTCCCTTGGCTGCTCCATCTCCTTTCCCACCCGGGGAGGGGATGTCGCCTCCAACCTCCGTGGGAGCAGGATGGGGCCGGGTTTCAAGAGAGCCTTTTTTTTGTTTATTTTTCATGTCCAAAAGGAAAATAAATAATAAATGCAAGGCGGGGGGGGGGGGGGGGGAAGGGATTTTTGCCTGGGGGATGAGCTGGGAGGAGAGACCAGCAGGGTTTCATCGGGGGGGGGGGGGGAGGGGGGGGGGCTGAAATTCATACTGCCAGCCCCAGCAGTGGGGTATGGCCCCAGTCATTTTGGGGGATGCAAAAGCTCTCTTCCATCTCCTCCTCCTCCTCTTCCTCTCTTCTCGATGCAGCCCAGTCAGACAATGCTGTCATTGCCAAAGCAGAGGAGGGGGGGATGATAAAAAACATTAAAGCCTCACTGAGAAGGAGATTAACCCCTTAGAGGGACAGCCGTGGCTCCACAGGGCTGGACCATGGATCAGGGCTGGGAGAAAAGCCCTTGAGAGAGGAAGTCCTGCCTCACCCTGGGTTGCTGGTGGGCAAGGTGCTGGGGTACTCAGCCCCTCCAAATGCCTTCATCCCACATGAGCCCCACAGTGCCAGGGGGAGCAGAGGAAGCCCGTGCCTCAGTTTCCCCATTCTCCTGCTGGGGCTGTGGAGGGGATGAGCCTACCTGGAGCTGTTGCCAGTGTCATGCAGTGACGTGCCCGGCCCCATTGGGATGTGGTTGGGTGGTTGTGCCACGAGCCCCTAACTGGCATGCCAGAGGAAACCAGGCTGGATTCATTTCCACACCATTTGTAGGTGGGCAAGATGAAAGAAAAGCAATGAAAAAGAATAAAAACGCTTAGGTGCCACTGGCTGAGTGCTGGTGGCAACTAGGGGTACACTGTCTCCATCTCGCAGCCACATGTGTGCCCTGGTACAGGCGCTGTGGGATGGGGAAGAACCCCTACCTAAAGAGCTGATGTCACTGAGCAGCATGTTGAGATTCCGTGGTCGGTCCTGTTGCACTGGACACGAGGGCAAAGGGACCTTATTTTGATGGCCAGTGGCTTTTTCAGCACCTGTTGGCCTGTGCTGGGGATGGCTCAGGCAGAGAAGCTGGGTGGCGCTCCCCAAGCTGCCTTAGTTCTTGTCACTCTTCCAGCAAGCTTAGCATCCTTTTGTGACCTTGGCATGACCTTGTCCCTGTTGTCCTCATCCCCATCCTCCTCCCACTCAACATCACAGGGTACTGGGGATATCACAACCTGTACCTGCATTAGGGGTGACCCTCCGCTCACCCTGCCCAGGATGGCCAGGGGCTGGTGGCCCTGGAATGGTGGCAGTCCTGGGGACTCACAGCTGAGCCAGGCACTGCCACAAGTGGCACATGAAGTGACTTCTTCAGCCCCCTTCTTCACTGACTCATGAGGAAATGTTTTTTTTTTTGTGGTCCCCAAAAACCAAGCCTGAGCTGGTCCCATGCCCCTTTTGATGCACTCTGTTCCGGTGGTGCCCCCAAGCTGGGCTCATGGGGTGTGTGGTCACCCACATCCTGCAAAGCCAGCTCTGGTGGCTGCACCAAGGACTTTTGAAGTCCCCACCACGGTCATCAGGTGGTGGCACTGGGGAGAAACCAGGATGTTGGCACTGCCATGACAGCACCAGGACTGACCTCGCTAGGATGGCAGCACCAGCGTGGCTTTGGCCAGATGGTGGCTCCAGGACAGACCTCACTGGGATGGCAACACTAGGACATGACTCGCCGGGATGGCATCAGGATGGCCTCAGTGGGATGTTGGCACCAGGACTGGCACTGGGATGGCATCGCCAAGACAGCACCAGGATTAACCTCACCAGAACCACACTGACTGGCCTCACTAGGATGATGGCACTGTGGTGGCCTCTCCATATGGCAGCACCAGGATTAGCCTTGCTGGGATGGCACTGGAGCTGGCTTTACAGGGACTGGCCTCACTGGGATGGCACCAGGATGGTCTTGCTGGGGCTAGCATCTCCAAGGCACCGCTGGGATTGATCTTACTGGGACTGGCCTCGCTGGGACAGCACGGAGATGGCCTTGCTGAGATGGTGGCAGTGGACAGTCCTGGGATGGCCTTGCCACAAAGGCACTGGGACTGGTCTTGCTGGGGTGGCCTCACAGTGATGGCATTAGGATGGCCTAGCCAGGATTGCCACACCGGGACAGCACTAGGGTGGGCTCCCCAGCACCTGTGACCTGTTCCCACAAAACTGCCCATTCAGGGGGACCCCAGAGCTCCCCTCCTGCCCCATTGGTCCTCATGAGCTCAGGGTGCCAGGGACTGGGGCTACCGACTGTGGGGCTTGAGCCCTCCCTGATGGTTATTGTGGCCATCACTGCTTTGGGTGAGGCCAAGGTGCTGGAGGGCTCTGCTCTGGGCCTGGCCAGGGTCTCAGATCTTGCCTGTGTACCAGCTCCTGTCCTCCCCCCAAATTTCCAAACCCATAAGCTGCCTTGACCCTTTTGAGGAACAGATCACCCAAAATCCTGAGGTCTCCGTGGTCTCCACAATGTTCATGGCCAGACTGGAAAGGGAAGAGCACAGAAAGGGAAAAGGGTTGTGCTCAGCCTTTATTAGCCATCAGAGAAGCTACACCTAGCCAGGCACAGCCCATCTCTCTGTAATGGTGAAGGTAAAGAGGTTCAGGAGGGCAAGAGGCTCCAACTCCCACTGTCACCTTCCCTCCTTGCAGAGCTCCTACCCCATCTGGGAGGACTTCAATTCGAAGGCCACCAAGCTGCACTCCCAGCTCAGGTAAGTGACTGCGGAGGACACAGGACACGGAGTCCCCCCATCCCTATGGGCATGTCTTGATGTGCCCAGCGCCTGCTGAGCTCCCCCCTCGCTCTCTCCTCCCAGGACCACAGTGCTGGCCGCAGTTGCCTTCCTGGATGCCTTCCAGAAAGTGGCTGACATGGCCACCAACACCCGAGGTAGGGTCCTCCTGCCATGGGGTGGGTGTCCACCAGCTTGGCTGGACAGGGGGATGCGTGAGGAGTGTCCCCCATAGGGGGTCCCCTGCCCATGTGGGTTGGGTGTGCTTCAAGCAGCAGCTCCACTATCCATGGAGACATGTCCAGCCTGTCTCCATATGAGGAGGAGCACCCTCTAGGAAGCAGGGTGGAAAGGATGGGCTGCAGCTGAATCTGGCCCATGGGCGATTTAGCTGTATCTTCTAGTGGGACTGATTTGCTCGGGGAGATTTGGGGTGGCACAGTGCCACGCCATGGTCCCCTGCACCCCTCTCTGCCCCTTGGGGTTGCACCCAGGACTGGGCCACGCTTCTGGTGTCCCTTTGTCACCAGGTGGGTTGGGGGGATGGTTCTGGCTGCTCCAGGGGGCTCCAGGGAAGGGGAGTTTTAGGGAGGGAGATGTAGGAGCCCACTGCTTCAGGGAGAAACCCCAGCCCACCAGGGAGGTGATGTGAAGAGCTGAGGATGCAGGCAGGCCCCCATGCTCTATGGGGTGGGGGGCTGGACCCCTGCGCCCTCTCCAGGTGAGTGCTGACAATGAGGAGCCACTTCCCACCGTTTGGCTTCTGCCAAGCAGATGGTCCCGGGCTGGTTTGCAGACTGGCGGCATCCAGGCCATCTGGAGCTGTGCGAGGAGGAGGAGGAGGAGGCAGCAGCTTGAGCTGGGATCAGCTTTGCCTCCAAACCCACTAGCCTACTGCACTGGGGCGATTAGGGCTCCCCAGCTCCCTTCCAGCCCAGGCACTGACAGCAAGGGGGAGACACAGTGGGGGATACTGGGGACAGTGTCATGGAGCCACCCTGTAGTGCTGCACTGGGTGGTGGCATCTCTGGGACATCCCTGCTATTTTTGGAGGTGTAGGAGGCAGAGCGTTGGCGTGGGGAAACTGAGGCAGGGCTGGAAGCCTCACATGCGACGGGCAGCACGTGGAAGAATCGGATTAGGAGCAGCAGGAGCTGGGATAAGAGCATTAAGACCTGGCTTAGAACATCCCAGCACACGAGAGGGCCCTTAGCCCGTGGGCTTCCCTATTCCCGTAGACTCGGGGGTGCCCAAAACTGCAAAGGATGGGACATATCTCTGGAGGTTTTCGGGGGCAGAGAAAGGCAAAACACCACTCCTCTATTTGCGCCCACGGGTTTGGATTGCAGCTTTTCCTGGGATTTGGCAGCAGCACTGCCACCATGTGGCCATCCTTCGGCTCAGGGTTAACAGCGGTTTCACCTGAAAGGGATGCTCCTGCGTTCAGTCGCTAGCAAATATCCCTCCCGGGGAGCCCTGATTCCCTCTTTATCTGTTCTGGATAGTGCCTGGAGGTGACAAACACGGCTGGGTGCTGCCACTGAGCTGGGGACAGAAGCTGATCCCAGAGCTGTTTGCTCCCAGCCAGTTTCTCATTCCATGTCTGGCAGTGGTACATTCCCCTCTACCTTCCCTGACTCCCCCAGTGCCAAATTTGAGACAAACCAGGAAAAACCAGGAGCAGGTTTTCATTTCAAAGCTGCTGGATGGGATATTTCATTTCATTTATTTTATTTTTTGATTTAGTGGATTATGAGGGGGAAAGCAAGCCATCCCCAACCCAAAGTGTCCCCAGAGCCCAGTGTATCCCAGCACTGGTCATCCCCACTGCAAGCCACCCTGCTCCCAGTATTAAAGCTGGTCTGTGACTGGTGTGGGGGTCTCCCCTGCCCCTCATCAGCGGTGTTTCGGTCCTCCCAGGTGCCACGAGGGACATTGGCTCCGCGCTGACCCGCATGTGCATGCGGCACCGCAGCATCGAGGCCAAGCTCCGGCAGTTCACCAAGTAAGCGGGCCCAGGGCGTGGGTGACATGAGTTGGCCAGGCTCAGCCCTCCCTCAGGACATGCTGGATGCTGGCTGGACCTGGAACAGGGGGCACAGCTCCCCCTCTCCAGCTCCAGTGCTCTTCCACACTCTCTGCTTCTCTCTCTCTGCTCCAGCGCCCTCATGGAGAGCCTGATAAACCCATTGCAGGACAGGATTGAGGACTGGAAGAAAACTGCCAACCAGCTGGACAAGGACCACGCGAAAGGTAGGACCCATGCTGGTGGGGGGCTGTCTGGTCAGCAAGGGGGTTCCCCTCTGACAGCCCCCCTGTGCCCACAGAATACAAGCGAGCCCGCCACGAGATCAAGAAGAAATCCTCCGACACCCTCAAGCTCCAGAAAAAGGCTCGCAAAGGTGAGGGGGGCCTCCTGGGGTGGGAGTACCCCCACCAGCCCCTCCACAACACCCAAGGCCAGGGTGGGCATCCCAGATGCAGCACCCTGGCTGCCAGCTGGGGGTGGGCACTAAGGGGTCCTGCTGTCCCCCCTGCAGAACAGGGGGTGCTGGCATGGCCGGGGGGGTTGGGGGAGAGATGGGGGCCCTTGGCCTCTTTTCACACATTTTCTCTGTCTCCTCTCTTCCCTCCCCTCCACATCCTTCCTGTAGAGCTACTTGGTAAGTGAACCGTTGCCCCCCTGTTCCGGCCCCCTCTCTGCTTCCTCGTCTGCTCCCCGCATTGGTGTCCTTGGGGCCGGGTCTGCTTCCATCCCTCCATCCATCTATCTGTCCCACCATCCACTCCCTGTGCTCCCCCTGCCCTGCTTTTAGCTTAGCTTGCTGCCCACATCCCAGAGTGATGCCAGCCCACTGTGGTGGCACCTCAGCAGGTCCCCTGGTTTCAAGCACCAGGGAACGGGACAGGGTGACAGAGGAGCCTCCCCCTGGGGCTACCATGGAGTGAGGGTGCTCCTGAACCCTCCTGGGATATGGGCACAAGGGGACCTGTGGCACCCACTGGGATGTGAGGATGGGGTGATGTCTCCTAGCTGGGCCTGGGGGTGTCCTTTGCTTGGCCATGGGGCCCCCAGCAGGTTGGGGGGTGCCAGACGAGCCCAGCGTTGATGGTACCACATCTCGCAGGGAAGGGGGACCTGCAGCCCCAGCTGGACAACGCGCTGCAGGATGTCAATGACATGTACCTGCTATTGGAGGAGACAGAGAAGCAGGCGGTGCGCAAAGCCCTCATTGAGGAGCGGGGTCGCTTCTGCACCTTCATCACCTTGCTGCAGCCTGTGGTGGTGAGCACAGGGGTACAGGAGGGGCTGGTTGGGGGTGTTACTGCCCAGTGGGTGCTGAAGCTCTCCCTTGTCTGGCCACAGAATGGGGAGCTCACCATGCTGGGAGAGATCACCCATCTGCAGGGTATCATTGAGGACCTGGTGGTGCTCACCGCCGAGCCCCACAAGCTGCCCCCTGCCAGCGAGCAGGTCAGTGTGGGGAGACGGGGGGACAGTGAGGAGGGAGCATCTTTGAGAGGCTTAAACCCCATCCTTCCTGCAGGTGATCAAGGACTTGAAGGGCTCTGACTACAGCTGGTCCTACCAGACCCCCCCATCCTCACCCAGCAGCTCCAGCTCCCGCAAGTCCAGCATGTGCAGGTATGGTGGGGCAGGCTCCAGCCCGCTTCGTTAACCCCAGAGGGGTAATGATGCTTATGGCCTTTGGGGATGTTCATGAAGTGCATATCCACCTCCATGTGTCTATCTGTCCAAAGTGGAGGAATGTGGGTGTGGTGTCGTGACTGTGGGGCATCCATTCCCTGGGTTTTGGGGATGATGTGAGCTGAGCAGGGAGGGTCCAGAAGCAAACGTGTCACCTTTGCCAGCTGTGCCCTGCCGCTGGGGAACCCCAGAAGAGAAATGGATGCCCCATGAGGACCCTGTGCCTCAGTTTCCCCAGGTTGGGTGGGGGGCAGTGTGCTGGGTTTGCTGCTGGGGAACCCCGCCACTTCCGAACCTCTGTCTTAAATTCTCTTTTCCTTCCTTTGTGCTCTGCACTGGCATATCCCTGACCTCGCGGTGCTCTCCCAGCAGCGTTAGCAGTGCTAAGGGTGGCGTGGCATGGCCCGGTGGGGCTCAGACCTGCTCACCCAGTTCCACCTATCGCTACCGCAGCCTGGCGCAGCCGCCCACAGCCACCACCCGCCTCTCCAGCGTCTCCTCCCACGACTCTGGCTTCATCTCCCAGGATGCTGCTTACTCCAAACCACCTTCCCCCATGCCCTCAGACATCACCAGCCAGGTACGGGAGGGGGGTCAGAGCTGCCCACCCCTGTGCCTCCGTTTTCCTTTCTGCTGGGTGCAGTACAAGGGGCAGGTGCGGAGGTAATGGGACCCCAGGCATGTTTCCAGCTGCACTGGCATCACAGGAGATTAATATTGGGAATATCAGAGATGCTTGCCCTGCTTAGGGATGCAACAGACCACACTGCAGAGAAACCCCGTCTGTGACCCAACCCCCAGGGATGGTGCACAGGTATTCCCCGAGGGGGCAGGGTATTTCCCTCTCTCCCCAGCCCCATAATACCCAGTTTCTGCCAGTCCCCCATCAGGCAGCATGGAGCAAAGCTTCCCATCATCCTGCATCCTCCCCAGTGCCAAGGATACTCCAGGGCCCCCCAGCACCCTTGGGAACTGCAAATCCCTGGTGCTAGCTGTGCCGCCTGGCTGCCTTGCACTGCCAGCATTGCCTGCCTGCTCTAACCTGGCATCTTCAACCTGGCAAGATTTCCTGGGGATACCAAAATGACCACTGGCTCCATGGAGCTTGGCGTGAGCTGGAGCTGAGCATCCCAGCCTTGCTGCTGGGTCAGATCATGCTCTGCTGCCATAGGGGAGGTGGCCTTGGCTGGGGAAGCTGTGGGTGCTTCTCTAACCTGGGCCATGGCTCTGGCTGTGCTTCCTAACCACCTCTTCTCTCCCACTCTGTTCACCGCTTGGCACACAGAAGTCCTCCAGTTCAGCATCCTCAGAGGCCTCTGAAACCTGCCAGTCAGTCAGCGAGTGCAGCTCTCCCACCTCGGTTAGTTCTTGCTCCACCACACCTTGTGGGGTTCAGTCTCCAGATCCCCCCCGTGGGGCAGAGCATCCTGGGCAGCACGCGTGGCTTGGGGGGACACATTGGTGTATGCCCCTTCCCGCCCTGCCCCACTTTTGGTTCCCAGTCCCAGTTTCACCAGCATCACCCCATGCCTTGGCTGTTGCAGGACTGGTCCAAGGCTAGCCCCTATGACCAGCCGGTGGTCCCAACGCTACAGCGGCGCAAGGACCGCGTGGAGCACCTGCGGGAAGCCGAGATGGGCTTACCCACCAGTGGGTACCCTGGCGTTGTTAGTGAGGATGCTCCCAGACCCCGGATGTCCCCAGCTACCATTGCTGCCAAGGTACCTGCTCCATTGGGGACAGCACAGAGGCAGTGGCCTTTTGGGGAGCTCCCAAGAGAGAAACCAGGATGCTGATGGTGTCCCCTTGTCCCCACAGCATGGGGAGGAGGTGTCCCCTGCTGCAAGTGACCTGGCCATGGTCTTGACACGGGGGTTGAGCCTGGAGCACCAGAAGAGCAGCCGGGACTCGCTGCAGTACTCCAGTGGCTACAGCACACAGACCACAACCCCGTCCTGCTCTGAAGACACCATCCCTTCCCAAGGTATCCAGCAAGGGGCACCCAGGGCCACCCAAAATGGCACCCAGAGAGGGGAAGGGGACAGCACATGGTTTGGTGATCCTGGGGTACATCTGTGTGTGCTGGGTGTCATAGCATCAGGCTGGGTCACATCACACAGGGGCTGGTGAGTGAAGATTTAATGGATGGGGGAGGGTGAGGTTCAGTGTGTGGCACAAGCATCATGCTACACCATAACTGCAGTTTCACCTGGTTATTTGGGTGTCAATTGGGTCTTGATGGCTACAGTTGTGCCAAGCAGTGCAGTAACAGGTAGTATCACAGCAGGGTGATGGTTTGTGGTGACGTGTTTCTGCCCAGCATTTGAGTACAGGTGGAGACGGTGGCAGATGGTGGGTGATGGCAGTGGAGGTGACAGTTGGAATCAAGTAACCACAGGGATCGGGTGGCATGGTGATGGCTGATCCAGTTGTGGGCATGTGGTGGTTGGCTGTGATTATGTTGTGATGGCAGCGGTTGGGGTGGTTGTGATGGTGATGGTTGGGTTTGACTACAGCCATGTCGTGGAGATAGTTGAGGCCAGTTGTGATGATCATGGCTGTTTGTGACCATGTTAGGATGACAGCAGCAGGAGCTGGTTGCGATTGCACTGCGATGGTGACAGTTGGGTTTGGTTGTGATCTCAGTGCAGATGATTGGGTTTGATTGTGGTTGCCCTGAGCTGGTGATGGTTGGGTTTGATGCTGATGATGGTTGGGTTTGATGGTTGTTGCCCTGCAATGCTGATGGTTTGATGGTCAGCATGTTGTGCCAGCAGTGGCTGGGACAAAAGCAGTGATTGTGTTGCAATTCATGGCAGTCGAGTTTGGTTGTGGTTGTGTTGAGATGTTGGTAGTTGGGACTGGCTGTGATTGCATTGTGAAGACGGTGGTTGGGCTTGGCAGTGCCACCACCCACCTGGCCACACTGGCCACGCTGCCTCGTCCCCAGGCTCTGACTACGACTGCTACTCAGTGAACGGCGATGTGGAGTGTGATCCCCAGAGCGACTTTGACAAATCCTCCACCATCCCTCGCAACAGCAACATCGCCCAGAACTATCGGCGGATGATCCAGACCAAGCGTCCTGCCTCCACTGCCGGCTGCCCAGCGGCACCAACCTCCCAGCCGGCACCACCCCAGGGGTGGCCACCATCCGCCGCACACCCTCCACCAAACCCTCTGTCCGGCGTACCCTCTCCAACGCTGGCCCCATCCCCATTCGACCCCCTATTGTCCCTGTGAAGACCCCCATGGTGCCCGACTCCCCTGGCTACACCGGCCCCACACGCCCACGGGTGGCAGCGAAGAGTGCGTCTTCTACACCAATGACCCCTCGCTGAACCCCCTGGATTTTGCCAAAGCATCACCAAGAGGCTGAGCCTTCCCAACACCGCCTGGGGCGGTGGGGCCATGGAGATCTCTGTCTACCCCGGGGCTGGCCAGCACCTCTCTGCTGAGGAAGAGGAGGACCAACAGTTGGCTGCCAACCGGCACAGCTTGGTGGAGAAGATTGGCGAGCTGGTGGCTGGTGCACATGCCCTGGGTGAAGGCCAGTTCCCCTTCCCCACTGCCCTCGCAGGGTCCGGCCCCAGCGAGGAGACCCCTGCACCGCCCCCAGCAGCCTCCATGGACCCCCCGGCTGAAGACATGCTGGTCGCCATCCGGCGCGGGGTCCGTCTTCGCAGGACCATCACCAACGACCGGTCAGCCCCACGGATATCGTGATGATGTGCCCACAGAGGCCGATGGACCCCCCTGGGGCACCCGCTGTGCCTCCCGGGACACCCCCATTGGCACCTGCTGCCCCTCCTCACCGCCCTGCTTCCTGCTCCTCTGTCTCTTCCTTCCTTCCCCTCAGCCCTTTCCTTTCTTTGCATTTTCCTTTGCTTGTTCACTCTTGGGCTCTTTCTGACTTTTTCTCATTTTCTTTTATCTTCTTTATTTTTTCTTCCTTTCTCTTTGTCTCTTTTTTTCCTCTTTTGCTCTTTTTCTGTTCTTTTCTCTTTTCCTCCTTTCTTCTCTTCCTCTTCTTCTTCTCCCCTTCTTTTTTTCTTCTTCTCCTCTCTTTCCCCTTCCTCTCTCTCTCCCCTTCCTCTCCCCTTCCTCTCCCCTTCCTCTCTCTCTCCCCTTCCTCTCTCTCTCTCCTTCCTCTCTCTCTCTCCTTCCTCTCTCTCTCTCCTTCCTCTCTCTCTCTCCTTCCTCTCTCTCTCTCCCCTTCCTCTCTCTCTCCTCTTCCTCTCTCTCTCCTTCCTCTCTCTCCTTCCTCTCTCTCTCCCCTTCCTTTCTCTCTCCCCTTCCTCTCCCTTCCTCCTCCCCTTCCTCTCCCCTTCCTCTCCCCTCTTTCTTCTTTTCCTCCTCTTTGTCTTCTCTTCTTTTTTCCTCTTCCTTTCCTCTTTTTTTCTCCTCTTTTTTTCCTCCTTTTTTTCCTATTTGTTCCCTTTTCCTTTTCCTCTCCTTCATTTTTCCCTTTTGCCCTCTCTTTTCCTTTTATCCTCTCTCTTTTTCTCTCCTCTCCCTATTTTCTTCCCTTCCCTCCCAGGACACAGCGGGTGCCCCAGCCCCCGGGCCACTGGGGCCACGGCAGGAGCAGCACCAGGAGCAGGGGCTTGTCCCTGTCCCAGTCCCATTTTGAGGGGGCAGAAGCAGCAGGGAGGGGGCTGAGGGGGGATGTGTGAAAGGGTAGGGGGACAGTGGAGGATAGGCACTACAGCCCCTCCAATTTGGAGGGACACCAGGACACAGCTGAAGATGCCAAACCTCCTCTTTCCCCCCCCCAGATGATCACTGGGGACCCCCCCCCAAACCCTCTCCCTCTCCCTCAGCACCCACAGACCCTTTGCAGGGTCTTGCTGAGGGAGCTCTGGGGGGCAGGGGGGGTTCACCCAGACCCCCCCCAAAGCAAAGCAGCTGGAGGAAAGCACAACTCCCCCCAGGCCCCGCTGTACATAGTCCCTGACACCCCGCTGTCTGTCGCATCGCAGGCCCCTTTTCCCTCCCTTAGGAATATCTATTTAGTTCCCACACACACACCCCTTCTCCTGCCCAGAACCGCTGATGCCAAGTGAGAAATGTTTGGGTTTGGGGGAGGGCGGAAGGGAAGTCTCTTGTTTTGTACAAGAAAACACAATTCCTTGGAAAGATAAAAAAACAACCTGTCTTTTGACTGAAGTAACTTTTCTGGTGCTGTTGTTAACTTCGTCCTTTCTCTTTTTCTTTTTTTTTTTTTTTAATTTATTTCCCCTCTGTGTTCCTGCCTCTGCTGCCACTTCCCCTTTCCCCATCCCTCTTACAGGTTTCTTTCTCTTTCTTTCATTCCCTCTTTTCTTTTAGTTGGGGATTTTTTTGTGGTAATTTCCCTCTTTTCCACCCTTCCTCCCCCCCCCCCCCCCCCCCCCGATTTCCATAGTCACTGCTACAAGTAACGAATGCACTGTGAAGATTCCAGTATTAATAAAGGTTGTACTGTAATTAATAGCCTCACCTGCAGTCCTGTGGTACCCTGGGTCATGGGAGATAAGGGAGGAAGGTCCCATCACCCCTTTGCAGTGCCCTTGCTTAGGGGAAAGTGGGTGCTCTGGGGTATGATGGGATGAAACATGCACATCATCAGGATGATGGAGAAGAGAAGCTGCGTGGAGACCTCATAGCAGCCTTCCAGTGTCTGAAAGGGGCCTACAATGATGCCAGAGAGGGACTCTTCATCAAGGACTGTAGCGAGAGGACAAGGGGTGATGGGTTTAAACTGAAACAGGGGAAGTTCAGGTTAGATATAAGGAAGTTCTTCGTCTTATATTCTTAGAAGATATATCTTCCTTCCTTCTTATATCTTTCCTCACCTCTTGTGAGGGTGCTGAGGCCCTGGCACAGGTAGCCCAGAGAAGCTGTGGCTGCCCCATCCCTGGCAGTGTTCAAGGTCAGCTTCTACGGTGCTTGGAGCAACCTGGTCTAGTGGAAGGTGTCCCCGTGGCAGGGGGTTGGAACTGGATGAGCTTTGAGATCCCTTCTAACCCAAACCAGTCTGGGATTCTTTGATGAGGCAGCCATCTGAGAATGCTGAAGAGCATGCCCCTGCCCCAGACTCCCAGGAGAGGGGGTGCAGATGATGTTCCCAGCACCACATACATCCATCCCGGCAGCACCCGCGTTGCCACCTCCCAGATTACAGAGACCTGTTGCTAAACCTTGCCGGTGTGGCACAACTGCTGCAGCGAGCGAGAAGATGGAGGAGCTTGGTGTGGGCAGCGTCCTGCTCACCGGCTGCGACGGGGGCCTGGGCCTGGGGCTGCTGAAGGGCTTGTTGGAGCAGCGCAGACCCCCTCAGCACCTCTTTGCTGCTTGCCTGGACCCCCAGGGGAAGGTAGGGAGGGTGCTGGGTGGGGGGAAGCAGGGACAGTTCTGGGATGGGCTGAGAAACACAGAACCTGGGGGTGCCACCATCCCCACCAGACTCTGGGGGGCTGAGCATTAGCATCCTGCACTGTAACTAGCATAGAAAAATACATATTCATATATATTTAATTTTTTCCCTCTTGGCATAGAAGTGGCGGGTGGTGTTGGGGTCTGGGGGTGCTGGCAGTCCCCCATGCTGGGGGCAATGCTGCCAGGGGGCTTTGAAGCTGCTGGGCTCAGCCAGGTTGAGGGAAGCTGCAAATTGCCCCATACCTCTCCCATTGGGGCTTGTTGGAGCCTGTTGTTCACGCCATGCCGGTCCACCCAGTTCCCATCCCAGCATGGCATGGGGGCCACCCTCTTGATGAACCCTCCTACCTGACTCTCCCACTCCTTTCTCCATGTAGGCTATCAATGAGGTGGCTTTGGGCAACCCCAGCGTCATGGTCCTGCCTCTAGGTAGGTGCCAGGGCAGGAAGGGGACGAAGGGGATGAAATCTCTTTGGATTTAATGGGATCTGTGGGTGGCTCTGGAAAACATCACCCAAGCAGGCAGGTCCCTTGGTTTGGCTGAGCCCAACCAGGTCACTGCAGAGACTGGGAGAATTCTCAGTGGCCAGGAGCTGCCTCCTGCCATGTCATACAGCATCTTGACTGAGACATAACCACTGACTCATCCCTAAGCCCTCCTGTCCCCTTGCAGACGTGACGGATCCCAACAGCATCAAGGCAGCTGTCAGGAAGGTGCAGGAGAAGGTGGGAAGCGCCGGCCTCAACCTCCTGATCAACAATGCCAGCACCACACGAAGCAGCACGCTGGCCACTGAGACAGCAGAGAACATGACCCTTGTTTACACCACCAACACCATTGGCCCCCTGCAGACCAGCCAGGTGAGGCCACAGGTAACCACTGCCTCAAATGCTGGGGGGGGGGGGGGGGGGGAGGAAGAGGATGGTGATGCCCAAGCACCCATCCCGTGCAGGCATTCCTGCCCCTGCTGAAGGAGGCGGCTGAGGCTGAAGGGCAGCATGAGATGAGCTGCAGCAGAGCTGCCATCATCAACATCTCCAGCATCCTGGGCTCCATTGAGGCAGGGGAGGCTTGGGAGGAGCGGCAAGACATCTGCTACCGCTGCAGCAAGGTACCACTGCTGAGGGAATGCGGACAAATTTGGAGGTCACTTCCCATGGGATTCCCACACACACACACTGGCCATGGCACTGCCAGCCCATAATGATGGTGGTGGGGTTGTTCCCGCCAGGCTGCTCTGAACATGCTCACAAAGTGCCTGGCCCTGGAGTATGGGGGCAGAGGGATCCTCTGTGTGTCCGTGGACCCTGGTTGTGTGACGCCTCCCCTGGGACAGGGGATGGTGAGTGACAGGAGGTACATGGCTACCCTGGCTCAGCACAGTCCCATGGGCATCCCTTCCTTCCTGAGTCATCCTTTCCCAGGGCCTCCCTTCCTCAGGCATCCCTTCCCACGTTCATCCCTTCCCATGGGTATCCGTTCTGATACGTATCCATTCCCAGGTCATCCCTTCCTCAGGCATCCGTTCCCATGGGCATCCCTTCCCGGGGCATCCCTTCCCCTGGGCATCCCTTCCCATGGGCATCCCTTCCCAGGGCATCCCTTCCCATGTACATCCCTTGCCATGGGCATCATCCCTTCCTGGGGCATCCCTTCCCATGGGCATCCCTTCCCAGGGCATCCCTTCCCATGTACATCCCTTCCCATGGGCATCATCCCTTCCTGGGGCATCCCTTCCCATGGGCATCCCTTCCCACTGGCACCCCTTCCCGGGGTCACCCACCCCTGCACAGACCCTCAATGCCAGGGGAACTGCACAATTGAAGCAAAAGGGAGAATTTCAGGCTCTTCCCCCCAAACAAGCCAGTTTCTTCCCTATTTTTCACTTTATTTCCCATCCCAATCTGAAGTCAGCAGAGGGCACCCCAGCCCCACACTCAGCTCTGGTGGGGGCAATGCACATGGGGTGCTGCCTCCCCAGCACCCCAAATCCCTCTTCCCCTCTGACAGTACCAAGGGGAGGCTGGAGCCGAGAAGAGTTTAAAGAGAGAATGAATGAATCACTTTTTATTAGGAACCATAAGATTGACCTCCATCTTTATAACACCCAAATTATAGGGATGCTTAATTTGTGCAAAGCTGCATCCCTTGGCTACTGGAGCATCTCCAGTCTTTCCCAGCCTGCCCCAACTGGCATCCCACTGCAACACATGATGCAGTTTGGGGTGCCAGGAGGGGGGCTTGGAGTCATTTTTTATCCTATGCCGTTGAGTCCACAGGGCCCGGTGACGATGGAGGAGAGTGTGCAGGGCGTCCTGCGGTTGCTGGCACAGCTCTCAGACACCAGCAATGGCACCTTCTGGGACTGGAGGGGGCAGAGCCTGCCCTGGTGAGAGCAGCACCCGGTCTTGGTGGCCACTGATCTCAATAAAGTGAATTAATTGCCATTTCCAGGCTCTCTCTGCATCTGTAGGGTGAGAAGAATAGGGATCCCCTACTTGGGGGTGGGAGCTGGCGTTGCTGCACCTCCAGGGATGCAGAGCTGGACCAGGGAAGCAGAGGGAAGGATGCTCCAGGAGTGGTCCTGCATCCTGGTGTCAGGCTCTGCTGGGACATCCCTGAGGCCAAAGGATTCCCTTGGGCATCTTCACACTGCAGCCCCATTCTATAGCCCATAAGCCACACTCACTGGTGGCCAGAAGACATCCCAGAGAGCCTCAGAACCACAGGCATGGGGCAGCCTTACTGAAGCCTGGGTCTCTCCCTGCTGAGCCTGGCTCCCCCAAAACCGGTTGTCATTTCTCTACCCACCATGAGGATGACGAGGGCTTTATTTTCCTGCTGCCTCAAGGCCAGCAAAAGCTCTTCCTTTTCTAGCAGCTGTGGGTTTCACAGCAGGAGCATCTCCCCATGTCCCTAGGGATGTCCTTTGGGACCTCACCGTGAGCTGGCCCTCTCTGCATCCCTCCCATCTCACGGTACTTCATGAGACAGTGCAAACAGGCTCCAATGCCTCATCTTGTGAGTGTATTTCTGTGGCGGGTCTCACTTGACATATTTGAAGCCTTCCCTCAAAAGAGGGACCTGAAAAATAGTGTCGCAACATCTCAAGCAGGCTGGACACGCAGGGCTTTGGCAAGCCCAGCCGTTTGCGATGGGGTGCTCTGAGAAGCCTGGCTGGGGTCATTTTGCTGGGGCAGTTTCAGCTTTCCCACGATGGAGGAGCCATTCCCATGCTTGATGGGAATGAGCACGAGATGGGAGCTCAGGCTTGGAGGCTTGGGTGATCCCTGGACCACCTGGGAGATATTTGTTAAGGCCAGTAGGGCTGGACGAGGGACCCCTGTAATTAAAGCCCTTTATCAAGCAATGGATTATAGTTGGTGGGTTTTATATGAGCTCTGCATTAGGTTTTATATAAACATGAACCAGCATGAAGAGGGGGACGAGGAGGAGGAAGACACTGCATCCTCATGCTGCAGTGCCCACAGCCTCATTTGCATGGTCTCATAGACCTGTAAGCCTAAGCGGCCCACAGCCAGGAAGACACCAATTAAGGGCTCTAATAGCCGATTAAGGTAATTAATGAAGCTGGGAAGGGGAAGGCAGCCGGCCGGCCCTCAGCCCCTCCAGCACACTGCCCACACTGTGCTGCCAAGGACAACAAACAAATCCAGATGTTTTGTTCCGGGGAAGTGGCCGGGGCTGATGGAGGCAGCTCTGCAGGCGATGGCTCTGGAGGGCCCTGTATCAGGGGAATATCTCCTCTGCAAAGCCAAGGAGGGGACTAACACCCCAAAAGAGGAGGCAGCGGAGGCAGCTGGTGTTGTTCTCTGCTGGTCCTTTATTTTGGGTAAGATTGGAGGATCCTGGGACCTGGTTGGAAGCTGTAAAGCTAGAGAATTAACTGGTGTTTAACGAAAGCTGAGGGAAAAATACAAACCAAGAGAAACGGGGTGATGTCCAACCCCCCCCAGCCCACACCCCTGCAGAAGGTGACTGGCATTTTGGATGGGGTCAACCCCATGGCTGTGCGCAGTCCCACAGTCCTGGAAGGGGTGGTGTTTTTTCCCCCTTTTATCCTTCTTTGGGAACCCAAAAAGGATCTGCTGGGGAGGCAGAGCAGAAGCAGCATCCCAAGCTCTAGGGCAAGGAGAAGGCATCAAGCAAGGGGTCTTCTGCAGCATTAGGTGGACTCCCACTGACCTAGGCAGAGAGGACAAGTATCAAAACATGGGACAGAACCTCAATACACATAACCTCCATTCCCCACGGTCTTTGTCTCCTCAGTCCCCACTCACAGGGTGCCCCGTAAAGCATCCGCATGACCTTGAGGCAGTTGTCCAGCAGTGCTTTGGGGCGCACGGCTTTCTTCCGGCTCTCCACGCCTGCGCTGTGTATCAGCTTCACCAGGTCAGCCACCACCTCTTCCACGTCTGACTGCAGGAACAGGCGACCGGGACGTAACCATGGTGCCACAGGGACATCGGGATACAAAAACTGCAGCTGTTGATTGGCCGGGAATCGAACCCGAGTGTTCCGTGTGGCCTACCACTGAACTCAGCCCAGGACCACATGGGAGGATTCCGGCCGATCAACAGCTGACCCACGAGACCCCCCAGACCCCAGTGGTTACAGCAGGGACAGATCTGGGACACCCACTTCCGTAAAAAGGAGCTCCAACAGACAGCTCGGATGCTGCCGGAGCTCCAGCCATGGGACCACCTCTTCCTGCTGACTCAAACATCAACTCCAGGAAGAGGAGGTTATCATTAGCCATAAGAGTTAACACCGACAAGAGTAAAATTCACTCTCTTCTCAGAGCTGCTGCAGAACCTGCCCCGCAGCACAGGACAACGCAGCCCCAGGTGGCCCCTCTCACCCTGGGACAGGGCCTCTCACCCCAACCAAACCAGGAAACTATCACTGCCCTGAGCCAGGGGCACCCACTGCCACCATCCCAGGGCCCCCCACTGACACCAAGCCCTGAGCATCTCCCTAACACAGGAGTCAAAAAGAGCTCCGTCAGCACCGTGCGCACACACGGGAGCATCCGGGCTGTGACGGGGGTGCCCCTGGGTCCATTCTGGGTGCAACTCAGGGAAACCTCCGGGCACCCGCGACCGCCTCCAAGGTTCCCCCACAGGGACACCGGGGTACAAAAGCTACAACTGTTGCATTGGCCGGGAATCGAACCCAGGTCTCCCGCGTGGCAGGCGAGAATTCTACCACTGAACCACCAATGCCAGATGTGTTCCCACGTAGACACACACCGGCCCCACGGCTCTGCCAAACCCAGCACCGGTAGCTGCATCAGGGATAGACATTACTGCTGGGACACTTCCACCCACAGACAGCTCGGATGCTGCCTGGGCTTCAGTCATGGGACCACCTCTTCTGCTGCTTCACACATCACCTTCACCAAGGAGAGGCTGTCAGTAGCCTTCAGAGTTAACAGCAGAATAGGAAGACCTTGGAGAAGCTGCAGGACCCGTGCCATTGCACAGGGCAGCTCAGATACACTTCAGGTTCATGCTAGTGACCCACCTGTGACAGGCCACAGCCACCCATCACACAAAGGCAGCTGCCTCCAGGGTGTAGGGCCAACCCCAGCCCCACGCAGCCCCCATCACCCTGGGTCAGGGCCCCTCAGTGCCACCAAGCTGGGGACGCACTGATTGCCCCTGAGCCAGGGTGACTCACTGCCACCCAGCAGTACCCTGTCATTGCCACCAGACCAGGGACACTCACTGTTACCGAGCCAGGGATGCAAAGTGCTGCCAGCCCTGTGTCTTCCAATGCCCCTGACAAGGGCCCATCCCTGCGACTAAGCTCCCTGACACATGACCACAAGAGTCAAAAAATCCCTGTCACCAGCATACACCAACGAACACGGGAGCACCCCAGCAGTGCCACGGGTGCCCCTGTGGACCAGCAGATGTGGCCCAGGAAAAACACTATGGACACTCTAAAGGTCCCTCACAGGGATATCGGGGTACAAAAACTATGACTGCTGCACTGAGTGGGAATTATACCCGGGACTCCCGCGTTGCAGGCGAGAATTCTACCACTGAACCACCAATGCCACATGTGTGATATATCACAGACCTGACCCACGACCCTCGGAATCCAGCACCAGTGGCTGCAGCAGAGACAGGCACTGCTGCTGGGATATCCCCTCCATAGGAAGGGGACACAACAGACACCTCGGATACTGCAGGGGCTCCAGCCACGGAACTCCCTCCTCTGTTCCTCTCAGACTTATTCCACCAAGGGAAGGGTGTCACTAACCTTCAGAGTCAAAAGCAGAATGGGAAGACCATGGAGGGGCTGCAGAACCTGCTCTATGAAACAGGACAAAGCAGCCCAAAGCAGCACCCATCGCCCTGGGCCCCTCACTGACACCAAACCAGGAAACTATCACTGCCCTGAGCCAGGGGCACCCACTGCCACCATCCCAGGGCCCCCCACTGACACCAAGCCCCGAGCATCTCCCTAACACAGGAGTCAAAAAGAGCTCCGTCAGCACCGTGCACACACACGGGAGCATCCGGGCTGTGACGGGGGTGCCCCTGGGTCCATTCTGGGTGCAACTCAGGGAAACCTCCGGGCACCCGCGACCGCCGCCAAGGTTCCCCCACAGGGACACCGGGGTACAAAAGCTACAACTGTTGCATTGGCCGGGAATCGAACCCAGGTCTCCCGCGTGGCAGGCGAGAATTCTACCACTGAACCACCAATGCCAGTGTAGGATATGCTGGAGCGCTGCTCCACGGCCTTCTATCCAGGGTGCCAACCTCTGCCTCCAGTAGTTCATCTATGCCAGCCTTCCCATATGACCATTCTGCAGGGAGGGAGCTATGCATGCCCTCCTCAGTTTACACACCCGTGGGTGCATGTCCCCACAGTGCACACATGCATTGTGTGTGCATGTACTCCACATCCGTGCCCATGGCATGTGGGTCTGCATGCACAGGCACTGGGTGCTCGTAGCAACCCTGCAAGGGGTATGTAAGGCCACGTATGAGTGTGTGTCTGGCACTGGGGTGCCACAAGGGGCCCAGAGCCTCCCCACCTGCTGGTACTTGCTGTACTCCTTGCCCAGGGCATCAAAGAGCTGGCAGAGCTCCTGTGTGTACTTCCAGGATGGGTGCTTCTCTGGCAGCACCTCGCGGATCCGCAGCACAGCCTGGGAGCTCACGTGGAACCAGAGGTACCGCAGTGCCACCTCCGACACTGTCCCATTGCGCTGGGGGAGACAGGGTGGCCCAGGTGAGACCTATGTAGCTCTTGTGGGCCCCCAGAATGTCCCCATCACGGGGCTATCCCTTGCCACCTTCTTACCAAGCGGGTGATGTTGGATGGCCGCAGCACCTCCTCGTACTGGACCTGGACCACATAGTTGATGGGGAAGTAGTGCTTCTGGAAAGGCAGAGAAGAGCTCGGGGGCTGCCAGGCTAACAGGGATGCCCCTGCCAGCCCCAGTGTGACACTAGGGAACTGGTGCAAAAGCCCTTTGACATGGTCAACCCTGGAGATGCACCAGCAGACACATCTTTGGGTACTATTTGGCACATGTAGCTCCTGATAGAAAAGCCACCCCAGCACCCAGTCACTGTCACTGTAGCAGTGGGTGCTGCCTCCCATGTCCCCACATCCCTGGAGTGAACTGGGATCCTGCAATGCCATGTGTCCACTCCATCCCCCCAAAACCGGGGGTTACCATGTACTGCAGGCGCATCTCATACTGCAGCTTGTCCTGGAGCAGGCGGGTGAGCTCGCATTCACCCAGCGCAGTGGCCTCCATTCCCAGCACAGCCAGGATCCCTGGGCAGCCGAAAGCAAGAGGTGTCAGTCCTCCACCCTGGGGACACCTGCTGCAGTGACCCCTGAGGCCACCCCCATCCCTGTCCCCAAGCTGTACTCACACAGGACGGCCGTGTAGCCCTGCTGCATGTTGACAGTGGCCATCGGCAGAGCCCTGGGCTGCACCTACATGGCTGGGGCTCACCGGGAGCCTCCTAGGCAGCGCTGTACGTGGCGGGGGCACGAGGGATGGCTGCAGGCCCCTGGGGCTGGGCTGCTCTCCGGTAGCCCCGGCCAGTTGCCCCGTGCCATGGATGGGGGGTTAGTTTCCCTTCCTGGCCGTCCCCACTGGCTTCTCCTCTCTGGCTGGCTGCGGGAAGGCAGTAGGTCCCGGGGCCATCGCAGGGTGCCGGCAGGGATGCGCTCCGGAGGGATTTGCAGGACACCCCCTACACTGCAAGAGGGGATTGGGGGGAGAGAGCCCCGGCTGCAGCCCCACGGAGGGCACCGGCTCCGGTTCCCGTGGAGCCCTCCGTGCCTGTGTCCCACCGCCCGGGGCAGGGCTGTCCCCGGTGCCACCCCCTGGAGAGACACACACACACACACAGCCGAGCCCCGTTATCCCAGCAATGAGTTCCTCCGGCCCCAGCAGATGCTCAGCGGAGGAGCCCTGGAGGACGGGGCTCGAAGCCTCCACCTCACGCTGTGTCCCCACGCAGGGACGGGGGGCACATGTCGCATCCCCACGCTGTCACCCCACAGCGTGTCCCGCACCCCCGCAGCGCAGCCCCACGCGGAGGGGGTGCTGGGTCCCCACGCAGCGTGGCCCGCGCAGGAGGCTCCTGCCGTGTCGCCGCACAAAGGCCACCCCCCCGCGCTCCACGCCCCGCGTCCCCGGGCAGCGTGATCCCCGCACACCCACCTGGCGCAGCCCGGTGGGCGCCGGGCGCGGAACGTGTCTCCCGGCGGGCGGCGGCGACGGGGCCGTGCCCGAGCTTCCCGGGAGGCGGGCGGGGGGCGGTGGCGCCGGGAGCGGGCGGAGCGGCTGCCGGGGGCCGGCGGGCGGGGACCGAGCGACCGCCGCGCACCGCCCGCACAGGGACTCGCAGGCCACGGCCCGGCCCTGGTCGGGGGGGGGAGGCCGAGGGTTGCGGCCAGACCGGGTGGGTGCACGCGGAGGGGTTCCGACGAGCTTCATGGGTCCCTCCCTGCGCCGTGGGGAGCGACCAACTGCACCCCAGTGGTGCTTCGCGGGGGCTCGGCTCCCTACTGGAGGCCCCTGAGGAGTTTGGCTAACCGGGTTGGTGTCCCCAGGGTCCTCAGCCAACCCTCCTAGGTCCCTTCATGATCCTTGCGGTGCTGGGCTGCCCTGCTGAGTGGCCCTGGGGCTTGGTTAACTCAGCCGGGTGTCTCTGGGAGGCTCAACTAACCCTTGTGGGTCCCCCTCTGAGGTGCTCGGCCGCCCTGCTGGATGCTCCTGGGTCCTTCCCTGCTCTTTGGGGTGCTTGGCTGGGTGGTGTCCCTGGAGGTCTCAGTTAACATACCTGAGTGTCCCCAGGGTGCTTGGCTGACAAGCTGGGGTACTTGCATAACAGGCCCCTCTGCTCCTCAGGGTGCTGGCCAGCCCTGAAGTGCATCCCCAAGGTGCTCACCCAACCCAGCTGGGTGCCCGCATGCTCTCAGGCTGCTCTGATCCACCACCTCCTGAAGACACTATGCTGCCCACTGTGTCCCAGAGTACTTGCTGGGCTGAGCACCCATGGGTGTGTTTTGGGGCACTGAAGCAGGCATCAACCCAGGGTGAGGGTCACATCACATGGATTAGACCAATGGGAGAGGGCCTGGGGGCTCCCCAGCTGTCTCCACGCCAGCAGGACTCCCATTTTCCCCCCACCCATGCCCACACTGTCTTCTCAGGATGCTAGGGATAGGGGACATGGAACACTGAAGCCCTTGGGAGAGGTGGCTGCCTGTGTGCTCGGGGCTGACAGGCATCCAGGGGGTCAGGAAAGAGAAACCAGCTATCCAAGAGCAGGTCAGCGCTCCCAGGGAAATGCGTGGGAAGGAATGAACTTCTGCAGGCGAAGAGAACGCGCTGGGATTCCCCTGGCACCGAGTCAGGCCAGCAAAACATGCTCCTGCCAAGTGTCCCCAGGGCCCACCTGGCACTCAGGCATGGCCCTTGCTCCCTCCCAGCTTTGCACTGGGGGCACGATGCTCAGCTCTGGCAGGGAAGTAGCTGGTCCAGCTCCTCACCTTGGTGTCCACAGGGATTTTGCCTGCATCTGCTGCAGGTGATAGAGGAAACAATTTAATAGCATTCCACACACATGTAGTCATCAGCTTGGCAGCCAGGATGGGATGAGGAAGAGAAGGAAGCACTCAGACCTGTGTACCATGCTGCTGGAGGTAGTTTGCCCTCCTTGGCTGTGCCATGCTGGAAAACAGCCCCTGGCACATGGTTCCAGGAGCTTCACTCCACCTCATCACCCAGCACCCTGCAGCTGCACGAGCCTGGGGATGGAAGGGAACCCTTGCAGGCAGAAGCCCATCTCTCCCCAGAGAAGACAATGGGACCTCATCTTGGCACCCCCAGCACAAAGGGGGTCTGGGGCTCAGCTAGCTCGCAGTCTCCTACGTGCTTCTCCAGGCTTTGCCTCGCTTCAGAGGCAGGTTATTTGCTCAGGCAGGCCCAGCCAAGGAAGCAAACCAATTTGGGAACATCTTGAGCCCCCGGATGTGATTTCACTCTTAGGACTAATGATACAGTGAAGGCTAAGCTCTCCCTGAGTGCTCCCAGATCCAGAGCAGGCATCACACTGTGGAAGAGGACGAACGGATGGGGAATGCAGGTAGCCCAGGGTGAGCACCCCACGTGCGTGATGAGCAAGAGGCTGGACGCCCACCAAGTTCTGCTCAGGTGTTTACAGCTTCCTGGCTTACGCAGCCTTTCCTGTAAGGTACAGGAAAGGAAAGGAGCACAAAGACCTTCAGCCCAGGGCAGAGGCTGGGTGTCACAATACAGCCAAAGTGCACAGCCCTGTGTGAAGCCCTCACCTCACAGCACACGCAGCAGAGGACAAACAGAATGCTGTTCAATGTGAGTATGACATTGCCCATCTTTCCAAGTGGGAGAAGAAGACTGGGGCTCATTCACAGGTTGCCATGCATCATGGGAGCATTCTGGCTCCTTGGAGACAGGCCCACTGGCAGGAGTAAGACAGGGGGCTAAAGCCCAGACTGGGAATAAGACTGGGAAGCACTCACTGTATGCTGTGTGGGTAGTGCATGGCAGGGAGAAACACCTTCCCTTGCCATCCTGCCAGAGCAGCAGCAATGCCCTCTGGAAAAACAGAGGCTGAGGGACAGACCCTTCCCTCCCATCCTTTCTGCATGTACCCTGCCTTGTGAGTGTCCAGACTGGTGCTGGACAGCAACAGCTATGGCTGCAGAACCAGCTCCAGGCAGAGCAGGCAGGGAAGGGGATCAAGGCTCATGGTCCAACACCTGCAGGGCTGCAGCACAGCTCCCACATGCAGGAAGGGCACAGGGCTGAGGACACAGATGTTTCTGTACTCCTCCTGCACCCCTCCGGCTCCCACCAGGCCAGGACAGTTGCTGCAAAGGAAAGGAGAACCACAGAGTTGGGCTTGCTAAAACCCAGGCTTTTATTCTTCATGTGCTGCTCACAGTCACAGCTTGAAGACACTGCTCTTGCCAAAGTTATTATGAAACAAATGAAGTCCCAGACACAGGCCTCGCTCTTCCCCACTCCCAAGAGTCAACATTGTACAAAACTCTATTTACAGGGAAAACAGTCAGAAATGGTGAGTCAAAAAAAACCCCTCGCAATTCAGAAGAGAATGCTCAAGTGTGACAGTTACACTCTCCATACAGCCAGGCTTCCCACCGGCTGCTCCCAGGGCTGGCTGGAAGCACAGAGCTTCTTGCCACCAACTACTAAACAGAGCCTGCCAATCCTGAGTCATGCCACAGCTCTTTCTTTTACCAGAAGGCTGGGAAATTGCAAAACCCACTTGATCCTATAAAGACTCAGCTAGATCTGCCCTACAGGGCTTTCTGTGAGGCCAGCACAAGACACCCTTGTGCTCCCCATCCTAAAGAGAGGCCAAGGAGACAAGGGTGAGGGGTCGCTGCACCCTTTCCTGGGCACTTCCCAAGAGGGAATCTCTCTTGCTGAAAGCCATGTCAGGAGCTTTCACAGAAGCAGTGGGATGAGCTGTGAGACCTAATATCCTATCTGATACTGTATTTACTGGAGTCACATTACTCTGAAACATAAACCAAGAGGAGCAAACCAGTATTTTAAAAAGGAAGCAAAGCACACATTCCTCTTCACAACTGTGCTTGGAAGAGCATCCGCAGGAGCCTGGGGAGAAGCTCCGCTCCTGCCAGTGGCTGCTCAGAAAGCATAGCGCGTGCGGATGTCTTCTAGCTTCTTGGACACCTCAGGTGGGGTCCGGTCCAGCTCTTCAGCCACATTCTTTTGTTTGTTTGGTTCCATGGAGTTGAACTGCTCACACAGGTCCCCATCGATCACATTCTGGAGGACCAAAGAGGAGAGCACTGAATCCACACCACACAGAGGCACTGAACCCTGCTTAAGCAGGGAAAAATGGCAAGTTTGTTCCCAGGAGCTTCTTAATCTTGTCCTGGAAACAAGACCACGCTCGGTGACCTCATCTGCTGAATAGCAGCAGTTAGCAAGAAATTAATTACTGGCCAGCTTGATTAACGAAGGAGAAACCCCAAAAACCTGTGTGCAGCTCAGGTCTGAGTGCCTGCTGGGAATGCTGGGGAGGCTGTAAAAGATGACCGTAAGGCAGCTGCAGCCACATGTGAGGCATCTTTGAGACTGGCCATGCTGCAAATCAGTCTCAAGTTCATCAAGAACAAGAAGACCCTCTGCATCTGCACAGCTTTCTGACCACTACTACAGTTATTACCCTGGTAGTATTTACCACAGTTACTCTGGTTCAGTACTCTGGACTTTTCTCATCACAGCATTTAGTAGTTGACAACTCAAACACACCTGCTCAAAAGCAGAAACAGGTAGGAACAGCCATTTCTTACAGACTTCCTGTTTCAATGGTGATGGAAAAAATCATGCCCAAGGCAGCACCCAGTCTGACCTAGCAGGAAAACAGCTACGCAGTGCCACTTATCCTGATGGAGAAAAGAGATGCTGTGGCAAGTACAGAAGTACAATACCAGCACCTCTGGGCTTGGGTCTCAAAACCAACCCTCACAAGCCTTACTACAAGGGTTAAGAAACCAAAACAGACATGGTATTAAGTGCTAAGTACTGTTCTCACGGAATGCTGCTCAGGAGCTAGTTTCAGTTCTTGCCGCAGAAGCTATGGTTTACACTGTTCCAGTCTTTCCTGCTGAACAATAACCCTGACTTGCTTCTGCCATGCCTCAGACCTGTTCTGCGTCCCAAGACAAGTCTCTGCACCCCCATGACCAGCTGATCCTAAATACTTGGACTGACCTTCACAGGGAAGTAGTAGGAGCGGAAACTGAGGTGGTCTCGTCCACAGAGAGGAGGGTGCTCAGACCTTAAGTGCATTTC